TTGCATCTGCCTCCTTCCAATTTTAACACTTTTCTCATACATCCTAGTAAACTTTTTCAAACTTAAAGCACCAAGGATGTGGAGAAGTATGGTAAGTGCGAGGTTTGAGTAGCTGGGATTCTTCAAGTATGAAAGAGAAGAAGCCGGTGTGCTGCTAGCAAAGATTCCTTTGCAGTCCCAAACTGCTTGGAGGTGAACGAGTCATAGTTTCTTGGAACAAAGAACTAGAGAGCATTAAAAAGAAATAGCACATAAATGTTTTAGAAGAAAGGAAAGGCAGAATTTTTCAAGCCATCATACGTTGGGGAGCTCACTGCCACGGGATGTGCAACTACACAAGGTATAAATGTGTTCAAAACAGACAAAACTCACAAAAGAAAAACCTGTCAATGAGTGCTGGCTATCACACACTCTTTCTTCAGAAAGTCCTGAAAGCCACAGGTGGCTGAAAGCAAAGAATTTGTGTCCAAGGAGGTTCTGTCTTTGTAACTTACCCTATGTTTACATTGTTCCTCTAAGCACTTAGTACTGACATTGGGCTAGAGGGGTGCTTGGCCCTTCCCAGTACTCCCAGATTTTCTGTATGGGAATAAGGCACACAAATGAAATATGAAAGAGCTGTGGCATTATGAAATGAGCTAATGGATTACAGCTAGGTTTGGGATCTATTGTCCATATTCCAATTTTCATGCATGTACACATATTAAAATACCAAGTCAATTCACTTGACTTTGTAAAATGTAGGCTCATTGCCATTCAGAAAGATATCTTTTGTTAGTAAGACACCATGTTATCAAACACCTTTTATTTGCTCCTTCAACCCATTATGATTTATGCAAGCCCAGTAAAAGCTATCATGCCACTGTTTCCAAAGTGACCCTAATCTCAGCGTACAGTTCTTGGTTTTATGCAGATGCTAATTAACATAACTACAGGGCAAATCAGCACAACGTGACCAAATAAATAAATTTTGCTGTGTACATAAAAGAAAAAACTCCACACCCCATACCCGTTGGTTTTTCAGTCACAGTTGCACAACATTAATAATGTACTCATGATCTTAATAGAAAATAATCCCTTGAAAATTAATTACCACTAGACATTAATAAGCATTTTGTTAATTAAGCCAGTAAGCCAATTAGGCCCAAGGTGAACTTGAGGGCAATTAGCTCCATAAACAACGTGAGCTAGGTCTTAGAAGTGCACTTTTAAAATTTAAAGAGCATAGTTTTGGAGACTGGATGGCTTGTGGGATTGCTCATTACAGAACAAAGCAACGGCCCAAATCCAGCCCAGGTCAGCAGAAGCCAAGAGCCATTATCAACCGGCAGCTTATCTGTCTGTGGAGCAGCTGGTCCAGACCTCATGTGAGACCTTACCAACTTGTAATTAATAGCTAGTTTCTCTAAGTAAACTAAATCAGAAAAGCCAGCAAAAAAGTAATTTAAAACTGCCTCCCAGCAAAGAGCTTTCTCAAATTATAAAACAGAGCACAATGAAGAAAAAAGCACTTTATAGCTGATGCCCTTTTACTCCAGGTAAACATCAGGCAGCCAGCTATACACCTTGCTCAGGTCTTTTGCAGGCCACAGGCAAAACTTGCAGGGACAAACCAAAATGCAAACCAGATGCAAGCAACCAGCAGCTTCTCTATCTCCAAAGCCCACAGTGGGACCCATTCCTTTTGAGAGATCTGTGCTTCTCCATACTTAACAAACAGGAAGAAGATGCAGAGCATGCTGCTGGAACAGCTCTTCTGTGGGCACAGCTGCAGGTCTTACTCCCTCAGACTCCTCCTGTCATTTTATTTTATGTCTTATCACTGGTCTCAGCCAGCTCAAGTACTTCAAGCCAAAAGCATCTAACTTCCCCTTTCTCTGAGCTGAAGTGAAGGGGTTTTGTCTCTGCAATTTGGAATGGATTTTCTCCAGCGTTCCAGCATTTCTGTAAGTGCATTTGAGAAAGCCACCAGTAATAGTTTCAAGTTTGTTGACCAGTAAATCTGACCAATGTTTGGAGTGTGCATAATAATGACTTACAACTCTCAGCTCCACAACCACATACGTTCTTGTTGCTTTCGTTAGTAGCATGTTTCTGAATTTGAATTATCATCTCAGCACTCCTGACAGCAACGAAGTGGATTAAAATGAGGAGAATGGGGAATTGCAGCTTTAAGATGCAGTTTTATACCTGGATGTTTCCAGAGGGTCAGACACAGAACATGGGAAGAACAACAAACTCCTCAAGTAGTTGATGGTTGCCGGAGGGACGGTCCCATGCCTTGTGTCTTTTCTGAGGCTAACCACGCTGGCATTACTTCATCTTTCCCATCAGAAGCATGAACCACAAAACAGTGCATAAAAGAAAGTAATACCTACGTAGTTAAAAGGCTCTGAAACTCATAGGATATGAATGAGCAGCCAATTATTCTGTGAATAATTAGCAGCTAAGTTGGAACACGTTCAGGTATGTGTATAAGTCTCTGTAATTGTTTTTATTAATTTTTAAAAATGCTGGATCATCTTATCTACAGCCAAAAACATTAATACTTGCATTAATTAGTGTTCATAATGCAGTGTATCTTTTGGGCTTTACTGCAGTCACTTGAATCCTTGCTTACAATGACTTTCCAAAAAAGATCACATTGACGAAGGAGTTTTAGGTTTATTTTGAGCATGGTGAAAAATATTTTTCTGGAAGAGTGGTCTAATTTTATCTTTGGTTGGGTTTTTTTTTTTTGCTCTTTCTTTTGAGTGTTTTTTTTTTTCCTCTTCCTGCCTTAGTAGAATGTGGGAATAACAATGTAGGCTTGACTATGCATATAAATTGAACAATTTGCAGTAATGCTCTAAAATGCCACTGGGAACAGAATTCAAAGGGCTGCTTGCAAAAACAATTGCTTTTTAAAAAAATTAATTTCTGAAAAATAAACGCTGAAATTGGCTAGGTGGGTTACAGGGTTGAAAATGGCAGAGAGAGACTTTCATCTGCTGGTCACGGCTTCAGATCCTATTTAGGCTGAAGAGCAACTGGAAGCCATTACTGTGACAAAGATATTTTGGGTCTCTGCAAATTTTAACATCATAATCTGTGCTGAGCTTATGAGCAAGATTGAAGTTCACTGAGAAGAATAGCAAAAGTCCCATTTTACTACTGGTTACAGAGGGGGCATTATTATTTATCCCACTGATTAAATATAAATCTTTCCTTGTTTTTAAATAGCAATCATTTAATCACAGACACTGTGAAGCAAAACAACATTCATATCCTTAGCCTACCAGTAGCTGCTTATCCTTTATCAGACATTTTTCCTGGTGTTATTGGTACTGCTTATGTACTTCCATGAACTTAATCACATGTGTAGGTCTAATTGGTCCTGCAACAGGAGAAGGCAGGAGACATTTAAGTCACTTAAATGAGGCTGAATGGAAAAATAAAAAACTGTTTTCAGGATGGAATCACATTTCAGTGAAACTAAGAACCTTAGGCAGTTTAAGGTCAGTGCAAAATTACTTTATGCTCTTTATCTACTTGTAAAAAGGCATCGACACATTCCCCCTATATAAAATTGCAGTATTTGGATACGTATTTCTGTGTGCTCATTTCTGGTCTGAAACAGGATTAGCCTCAGAAGTTTCAAAACAATCAGTCTGAATGAACCAGACCATATGAGATCCATCCCTTCAGCAGAGTCGGGTGCTTCACAGAGTTGCTTCACCAATAGGTGCTACAGATGCTTCACCAAAAGCAGGGATGTCTGAAAATGGGAAGATGTCCAGACCAATTTATAGGCATGAATGAGAACATTTTCCAGATTCTATGCCTAAGTTTCACAACTAAAGCCTGTGCTTATTTCCAAAAACTCATTTAAGTGAAAGCGCATACAGAAACATGCACAACACTCATAAAGGTACACAGTAAGCAGTTTATGAATGTGGCTGTTTATTTCCGGTAGTATCCACAATATCTTGAAAGATTTCCTCACAGAAACGAAGAACAGGTTGCTACCCAAGCAATAGACAGACTGAAGGTTTAAAAAATACGATGCTTGAGTGTTCAAGAACAGCAACAGCAGCTTTCCAGGAATGCAAATGTAGTGAGAGGCTGCTCTAATGCTGAAATAATATGGTTGTATTGTTAATTTTATTTTATGCTCAAATATACATGTTCATCTCTCTCCTTAGCTGTGAATATCTAGCTATTCCATTTCATATAGAACTGTGCTAAGAAGGGAGCAGGAATGCCACCAACGTGAAAACATGGCAAAAACACTGGCTTCCTAGAAGAAATGGAAGGATGGGCTGACCTTGAATTCAATGAGGTTCAAATCCAAGCAGAGCCAGCAAATTCCCAAGCTTTGCTCTCCAGTTGCTGATTTGTGGAGGAGATAAGAGGAGGTTGGAAAACTACCATCATCACATCTTTCTAGAGAGAAAGTGAGGCTCTTTCTGAAGAGGGGAGAGTAATTTACATCAGCCTCATGAATGACTTGGAAAGTAACCCCCAGAGCAACGACTCCTGGCTACTCACAACTGTCATGACAGTTCTCACTGGAGCTGATCTTTCTGCAGTGGAAACAGCAAAAAAGACACAGCATCTGCATGGCCACAACTACCTTCTGACCTTCCCTAGGCAGAGTGATGCTCAGCTGCTAAGTTGATACAGCAAGCACAGAGGGAAACATAACAACTCCGGCAGATAAGGAAGCAAAGTTCAGTTAACTTTCCTAAATGCCCTTCAAGATCAGGCAGTGAGGCACTGCATGTTTAATCATGGTGAAGGATAATAGAGATCAGAGAACCAGGGAAGCAGCTCAGCTAACTTCAGGCATGCTCTGTTAAATGCTATATGATATAAAAATGCTTTACAGTCCATGCAGCATACTTCTCTTGGCTAAGGACCATCACACATTGAAATTAAAAGTAATTAGTGTCCCTTAAGGATTTAAAGAGAATTGGTTTTTATAAAGCATTTCCTTAAATCTTTATGTTCAGTAAAAAAAAAAAAAAAAAAAAAAGACATTTTTATGCAGAGTGGCATTTGTTTACATTTGGCACTTTAAGAGATTAAAGAGATTTAAGAGATTTGACTTTCAGAGCAGTTGTTAAAGCTGGAAAAAAGTTGCTGTTAAACTCCCTGAATTATACTGTTGAGACTGCTAGGCCCCTGAGGTATGAATGCAAAACATTGTGATCATGGTCTTCTGGTCCCAGAGAGGATTCAAAACAGAGGCCAGGGCTCACAGCAGAGACCCAACTTCTGCAGTGTACATGTAACCCTCATCTTGGCAGCCCAGTGCTGTTCAGACATGGGAGACAGTGTGGTCAAGTTGGTCCCATGCTGCCTGTCCAATCTGGCAAGAGGGAATCGGGGTGTCTATTCTGGGAGTTATTGATAGCTGGGAAAACAACACAAGCCAAGCCTTCAATACCACACACAAGTGCTGCTGCCTGTAAGAGTCATGAGCCTTGAAAGAGGAAAGAAATACTCCGAGGGATGTACCTGAAAGGTGGATAGTGAGGCTTCACAGGAGCAGGAGGTGTCTCTTCTCACCTATGTTCCATAGTCTTTTTATCAGAGGCTGGCACAGATGGAAGAGTTCCCATACTTGCTCTCCAAAGTTGATGGAAGTGCATTGGAATTGCAGCCCCATTCTCACGGTGACCCTAAATTACAGGAAGAAAAAGAATAATATTAACAATACTCCCCAACTATCTGAAGCGAACACACTTCAGATGTTAATAATATTGTTTCATCGGAGCCTCAAAACACTACACTATGTCTGTACATACAGAGTAGTATTTTAAAAAAACCCAACATTGTACACTCAGAGATTTCATGTGGATTAATAATTAACTCTTTCCTCCAATTGAAGATTTGATTTAGCCACATAAAAAACAGTATTTAACTCTCTGCTTTATCTGGTGACTAATCAGAAGAAGTGATTTCCACGCTAACATTTAGATGTGCACCTTGATGCTGAAAACACAATGGCCTACAGTGCAACTCAAAGGATAGTTGATTATGCTTTATTTACAAACTGTTAGTTTAGCAACTTAAAAAAATATCCATCAAAACCCAGCAGTTGACAATATTAAGAAATGAAGTACAACTGAAGATAAACAAAGCACTGATAGACTCCCATCTATCATTAAACCTCACATCATCTCTGTACACTGTGCCCTCAAGCAAAGATGAAGAGTTTGAAAATGTTCTGGAACTTCTCTGCCCTCTTCGTAATGTTTTATTAGTTTAGATTCTACCACAAATTGTAAGATTTGTGACCAAAGGCTCCAGTGCAGATTGAAAGTACAATGCCTTTCAGTGCTTCAGAGAGAAACAATTTGTAATTGCTATGCTGCCAAAGCAGCGCAATGAATTGAGCTGGTCCCTCTCTTGCAGACTCTCCTACAATTACAGTAGCGTTTACTGATCTTTAAAATCATTCACCATCCAGAATCTTCTCCAAGGTTATACCTAAGGAGCTAGCCACTGAATAACAGAAGTTAGCGTTTCTAAAAAAGGCATTCAATTTGCCAGCGTGGGAAATTGTGTTTAACCATAAATATCTCAAGGGCAACAGCAATGATGTTTGCTTCACAGAATTGCATAAATGTGCTTCAACTTCAACTTGCAAGCTTATTTGATGCTCAAGTCTGCTACTGAGAAGAGCAATCCAGCTGCCAAATTCGGTGAAGTTTTGAAGATCATGTGGCCACAATGCTGGAAAGGAGACAGAATTTATATCACTTGCCTTCGTTCTCCATGTCTGAACCTCCTCAGTGCCCATCACACTGCTCCATAGAAAACATCAGCAGCAGAGACTCTAGTTTCCCCTTGAATATCTGTTTAACTATGTATAACCATTATTACTGTTTTGGAGGTTTTCATCTATCATCTAACTTTAATCTTCCTGTCTGCAATTTTATTCTTTTGCCTCTTTGTCTTACCAACAGTTCACATGGAGAAATACACAGGGGCGTGTTTCTTTACAATTATCTTTGGATAAAAATAGTAATCTGAAGGCTTTGAGACTACAGTACTACTTTATCTTCTGAACACTCCTTTAATTTCCTCACATTGTTACAATGGAAGAGAACCCATTAGCTGACTGCACACACGCATGCATGCATACACACAAGAATTATAAGCACAATATTCAACAGCATATGGTAAACTCATTTGTGTCTGTCTTTCTATGGCAGGTCAGGCACTGAATAGTACTCATTTCCCAGAGTCATTGTTGGCAGTAAAGAGCCTGCATTGGTGGATAGTGGCTGGAATAGCAAGTGCAGTGTGACTAATTGCATATTTGATATTCATGAGATAAATTAATTAGCTGCTTTTTCCCACTGAATAGCCTAGATTCAAATAACATTGTCAGATGTGAGGTATGGTAGATGTACGTGTTTTAAAAATAGCTCCTAGGGTGTATGTATAACAGTCTGCTACTACAAAATTTAATGTAGCTTTGCCCTCAGCCAGGAGTTGCCTGGAGACTGGCTAAAAAACAAAAACACTCCATATATTGTTTCTTTTTTATTTCCTTTTCTTTTTGAAAAGGTGCATCTTACCCCCTCAGCCTTGAAACAAAATAGCTATAAAAGCTGTTTGGTGTGGTATTTATTTATGCAAAACCTAATCTAAATAATGGCTGGCAAAAAAACCCTGCTGTGACTATTATCTAGCATAGGACTAAAACTGTTCCCAGCTTAAGTCCCATTAATGGGATTCAGGTGGCTGGGGACAGCAGTCTGAGGTGGATTTGCTACAAGGCCGTTTCCTGCATCAGGATCAGAGTGAAGCAGCTCCAGCTTTCTAAAGACACCCAAAAACCAAGTATTCACTCTCAACTTGCCAAATGCCTCCCCGTGTCCTGCTGTTGCATGCCCAAGTGGCAGGTACATCACCACTCCAATGGCATACACGGACAAACTGCTGTATTTGTCTCCCAAGCCATGGGGAAGGACATGAGCACATTTGGTTTGTTGTGGTTCTCCTGTCAAACTGGAATACTACGTAAGATTTGCCCAGGTACTCTGCCTTCTTGATCTCTTGCCCAGTGACTTTTAAGGCTTTTGCTCAGTGAAATATGGCAGAAGAGTAGCAATCTCAAAGGGAGCTAAGTTCCTACCACTTTCCCAAAAATAACTGGCTAGGCAGAGGATGATGATTTTATTAATAATCTAATCCCTGAAAAAATGCAACAGCACTAGCTTGTACCTTAGTAAATACAAAAAAATACACATAGGAGATAAGCTATTCAGTCTCTGCCAACCCAAAAGAGGCATTCACAGACGCTTTCCCTTCTCAGGTACCGAGCTCCATTGCGCTAAGATGCAAAAGTCTGAATGTAATCAAGTTCCATTACAGCAGCAATTTGTGTAATCATAGGTCTTCCTGCTGATGAGACTCCACCAGTGTCATCTTATTTCTGTTACAGGGCCTGGAGTTCAAGACCAAGACCTCAGAGTTTGAGGCTAGAGGTGTGAAAAAGATAGGAACCACACCAAGGAAAAGATTTTGAGATGTTAAGTACCAGAGTTTATTTCAACTGAAAAGAGAAAAACCTATGATTCACTGGATGACTTTTCTCAACATTTTGTGGATTGAAGTTTGCAGATGATAGAGAGATGTCTTTTCAAAATGCTACACTCAAAAGGAGAATATTTCATTCTGAAAATATGAGTGAAATACATGACACAGGATAAGCATGAAATTCTTCCTCTATAACATTTCTGCAACATTGACATCATTTCACAAAACATGTCAAGTTTGCCTATCCTCTTTTTTCCAATCAGAAGTGTTTCTAGAACACTCTTCTCACAGGCAGCCTTGCCTGCCTGTGTAGCTGATGCACTCTGTAGTGTCTTTGGTGACTTCACTTGGCTCCTGCTAAGAAGAAAAGTACGGAATGAGGCAGTGCACCTGGATTTTAGCTTTGCTCAGCCAGGAGGGTCTGAAAACAGCTGGAAATACTCACAATGCTTAAAAAGTAACTCAGAATCCCAGTGGTTTCTGAAATACACAGAACTCTGCAGGCAGGAATAAAAAAAAAAACAAAAAACAAAAAAAAGAGTCTAGCTCTGCATTGCCAGTCTGTTTCCCCATTGTTGATGTTTTATGTCAGTCTTTGAAAATCCACTTTCCAGTAAAATCCATCAAACTTCTACACAAAGAAATATGGCCTGCGCAAAGCAAATGACACAAAGAACAGAAACTGCTTCCAGGACCTCTGCAGTGTGTGTGGGTGGCAAGGCCTCCAGCAGCTCTGTCCTGAGGAAAGGTTTAGTTGGGGCAATCAAGAGGTCTATGGGTACTGTTTGACAACGTTTACACTGGCAGCCAAAAGGGGGGCTGCACTTTGCTTGATGAATTTTGTTTGTTGTTTTCATTTAAAAGAAGAAAAATTGATACAATAATGAGCTTAACTAAATTCTAAATTACGTAGATTAATTACTTCCTAAAGTTAGCTCAAAATTACAAACAGCTTTTTGATTATGTTTTTATCTGGGTAAAATTGCATCAATTACATAACTTGCACTTCAGAAAATAGTTCCCCTTAAGCTAATTATATCTTAAACAGATTTATCTGTGAAATTCACAGCTGCAAATTATGTTCACCTGCAGCATTTTTCACATGCAGCCAAAGAAAGAAGAAAATACTGGGTTCTCACTTCTGTAACAATTCTTCGTTATAAAAATCATTCTAAGTAAGAAAATCAGTTTAGTCTTCAAAGAACAAATCTAATCCAAAACTAAGGCTTTGTTTTCCAATTGTCTAATCCATCAGTTGCTAAATTCAACATATCCTTCTCTGCTAAGATATAGTCACTGTTTATTACCTGCACCTATTTCCATATTTTTAAATACAGGATGAATATGCTTAACATTAGTTTATGCAATGAGTAGATAATAATAAAGCCGTAAGGAGCTGCACAGAACATTACTAAGCACAACACCAGAATACGCTATAATTAAAGTTGTGCTTATACTTCACCTGCGACTCCCCCCTCTCACTCTCTTCAGTAAGAGATACAATATAATAATATGAATTGATTTGGTAAATAAGGACTGCTCATTGCTCAGCAGTTTAATATTTTTCAAATAAGATATTTAAACACTAGTTGTGGATACATAATATGAAAAGTTTCATTTTTTACAGTCCTGATCTTCACAAACAAACTGCATTCTATTCTATAAAAGCGCTCATAAATCTGGCAGGCAGCAGATTGATTTGAAGTCATTCTAACTTATATTTTCCTAAGATTCCTGAGTAAAGTGCCATTTTGATCACCTCTTTTTCTCACCAAGTACAAGGCCTATGATACCTCCATATACAGCAGATGTTCTATACATAAGGGGAGATTAAGCTCAAAATGACCACGGACCAGATCATAAGTTAAAGCTAGGAAGTCATACAAAATTCTGTTTTATGAGCACCATACTTGCAGAAAGAACAAAAATGAAACCAAATCATCTCTGGGGACACCAGCCATCTGTGTGAGAAATGCTTGACTGGGAGCTTTGCATTTCTTGGAAATGAAATTACCTTTCCCCAGGGACAGAACGCTATTGCAGTGGTATGTGCCTACAGAACCCAATGACAAGAAGAGGTTTAAGTATCAAGTGGAACCTGTTGATGAAGCCTTCTTTCTCCAGCTGCAGGTTGCATCAGGGGGGCTGTAAGAAAGGAGAGGACAGACTCTTTAGCAAGTTCTTTTGTGATAGGACAAGCAGAAATGGTTTCAAACTAAAACACAGGAGATTTACGTATCATTAAAAAATAAGTTTTTCTTATAAGGGTAGTGAAGCACTGGAACATGTTGCCCAGAGATGTGATGGAAGCCCCATCCCTGTAGGTATGCAGGGTCAGGCTGCACAGGGTTCTGAGCAACCTGACCAAACTGTTTATGTCCCTGTTCAATGCACAGGAGTTCAACTAGATGACATTTTAAAGGTCTCTTCCTACTCAGATGAGTCTTTTGTTCTGTGATCTTCTAGAAAAAAAATGTCCTACCGATACAAGCTTCCCTGATTGACAGCAAACAAGTAGGATATCCAGAAAGAAGTCATTATCTTCAAGAGTGCAGAAACACAACCCTTAAATATTGGCCAAACTTAAATAGAAAAATAAATCTTTTCTTAGGTACACTGATGAAAAAAAATTCTAAGCTCTTGGCAAATGCATTGGTTTTACTATGCCAAGCAGAGATCAGTGTGTATCATTACCACTTTCCAACTTCTTCACCTCATAAATAATACAAGAAACAGTGACAAAGACTGGTGTGTCTGTACCATAACTAAGACATGGCTCACACATTCAGCAGTCTGGCATAAAGAGGATTTCACACCTTGCTCAATGCACTCCTGCATTAACTCCTTGTCAGGTACTAACAGCAAATGCCACAGTTTTGTTTAATCAGCTCTACCTGCTGCTATCAGTGCCAGTTAGTCCAATTTATCACATGCTCCCCAAAAAGCTGGAGCTGTGCTGCTTTCAGAGGGCAGACTGTGAGGGAAAACAGCTTGTGCCCAACATTTCCAAGGAGGGCTGATCAAAGAGCAGAGCAAATGCAACACTTGGAGAATTTTTTTTCCTTTCACCAGCTTTCTCTGAAATGCCTTCACTGAAGCGACATGTCTCATTTGCTGGCTGGATTAAATTCAGAGTTAGAATCAGTGCTTCTGAGAACTACAGCATTTGTCCAAAATGAACTGAATGGTGTTTTTTTTTTGTTTATTTTGTTGGTTTTTTTTTTACTGTGTTGCTCTCCTTTTGTATCACCAAACTTAAAAGTTGTTTTTTCCTCCATTGTATCTAAATTTATTGATCTATACTACTATTTAATCTACTGCTAGGATGAAGAGAACCTTGAGGCTCTGATGAGACTTTTTTTGGTGTTGTCCAGCTTGAGATGTTAGCTAATGAATCACCTGCAAAGATATTCTCACAATACAAACACAAATCAGAATATTTTCTAATTTTTTTCATTCAGAAAACAGTTTTGCAATCAGTCAAAATCTTTCTTCTACTGAAATGAGTATGCAGAAATGCAGAAGGAAGAACAACTGGTGGCCCAAGAAATGAGCAATTTAGTTATGGTGGGCTTAGCACTCAGCCAGTTCTCTCTGATGACGTGAGTGTAAACATATTTTCTCTACTGGATAGGCAGGCATTTTACAAACATTGTGTATTTATAGATTCACATATGTGCACAAGAATAAAGTTTATGGATCAGGGGCAGTCACCTCTTGAGTTTAATCAGGCTCACAATTGCCACAGACCTTTTCCTTCTCCTCTGAATAAGCAGCAACACCCAGAGTTCTCCTATACAGACAGAACTAATGTTCAGCACATCCAGGGATTAGTTTTGTCAATGGGACCATGAAGCAAAACTCTAACTCATGTATGAAAAATGGATCAGAGCCCAAATACATTGCCATTAATGCAACTTCCATTGAACTTCATGGACTTTGGATGAAACCAAAAGGTACTTTTCATTGTTCATGCTAAATTTTTTTTGTTTTATATTTAATTTGCTAATTCAATGTAATCAGTTTCAGCAGTACCTCCTCAAATACCCACCTCAAATACCTATTAAAAAAAAAAAAATCCTTCATAACCACACCTATAATATATCCTGAGATGAGGCAGAAGAAATAGCTTAGCAATACCTAGGGTGGGATGTAAGAATCCTGCCTCCCTAGGAACAACTACATGAAACCTTGATGAAACTTTTCTATGAAGATGTGGGGCATACTATAGGTCTTTTCCTTGGGCCTAAAGAAAATCACAGCACTTAAAAAAATACATTGCACACAAAGTCATCCCACTTTTATAGTCTCACTGGGACCTACTTAACTGAGTATGAGTCACTTATTTCCAGAAGTGCTTCATAGTATATCAGCATGAACAGGCTTAGAACTATGAGTCACAACTGACTAACAACTTACAACAGGTCAGAGAAACAGCTTCACATTGGCATGGAGCCTCTTCAGAAAGCAATTAACAAGTAGTCATTCACACTTGCTATCTGAGTGATTATATTAGAGGAAAAAATAGGAACTAGTTTAACAGAGATTTTCTTTTTTTTGTAACCAAAAAAGGCTTAAAGGGCCTACAAGGGGACATTGGCATGTGTTACCTTACGTGTGATCCTGCACACTACCAAAGCTTTGTCACTTTGGTCAGAATACAAGAAGAAATCTTCAGTACCCAGAGTACAGTACCCAGAGTTTGGTGCCGTCTGCTGCCTGTATTGGCACTCCCTGACAACCCCTATCAACTACCACAACTCATAGGTGGAAAAAAAAAACAGCCATATGCAATGCTGCTACTCGGATGCATTTTTATAAGCATGCCTGCATTTTTCTTTTCTTCTTTTTTTTTTTTTAATGATGTTTTAAAAACATCAGCATGTGAGCTAACACTAGCAATCCAAAACATAGTGGTCAATACCTGGCTTAGGAGCCTGTCAGACCCTGTGCTTTGTCGCTGAAACCACTATTTAGCAGTGCTTACTGTTTCAGTAAAACAGCTTTCCTCTTCCTCCTGCTGTCAAGTGGCATCCTGGATACCTCAGTCTCTTCTCTGTCCCTCACGACAGGAAAACAATTGGCAGGTTGGGGAAATCCATCTTTGCAAGCAATAGCATGAGTGGTAATTGCTGTGTATTTCAAATACATCTAGTCACTTCTACTTACACATTCACTGCACATGCATCTCTATGAATACAGCATCAGGAAGCCAACATTTCCAATGGAACAACTGGTCCATACAAACCTATTTTTATTAGTGCTAGGTATGTTATTAACAATTAATAATCAAGCACACATCATGGAAAAAGACTAATGAAAGAAATTAAATTGTTAATATCACTAATTTAGTGCATCTATCAATCCATGCAAGTCCACTTATATTCTGGTCTTTTTATTAATTATGCACCTTTTTTTAGTCATTAGAATAAAGTCTTTCCCTCTGTTCCATAGCCAAAATCACCAATCCAGTTGAAACAAAAAACAAAACTGGGGATTTTTTTTTCCAGGAGCTTGACAGAACTAGCCTGATTGATGGCTTTGATGAAGTGCTACATGCAACAAGCAGTGCACTCTAAGATGTTAGCTTCTATTGGTTTCATCTTTATCAGTATTTTTCTTACATTAATAGGATCTCTGCAAGGTTTTAAAGCTGAACTTTCCACCCAAATTGGAAAGACAGAGGACAACATAGAACAGCACACGAAAATATCAGCGTCACTGTCCTCGCAGTAAATAGAAAAGAGCAGCAGCAGAAAACATCTCCTTTGGTACCTTAATGAAAAACAGGAATAGTTGTCTGTATGTGTATACATAGATAAACATACACACTCATATACATACACATGCCCAAACGGTATACATTTCTAATAATTGCATCTGGCTTTAAAGGACAGAAAATGAATGAAAAATGCTGTTGTCTTCTTTGCACATTAAAAAGAAAAAAAAAAGAAAAAAAAAAAAGAAAAAACCAGATGACTGACTAGAAACAAGCAAATGGGCCAATAGCGGATAATTTTTATTCACATAGTAGCTGTAACTAGAATTTATTTTATTCTGAATTTTGTCCAATTGTTTTTAGTTCAACACATCAAACTGTGTGCGATATGGAATGAATGCTTGTTTTGCAGAACGAGGATGGTGCTGTCGATGTTGCAATTGCTTAAGCTGTCAGATATGCTGAGTTTTGCTCCTTAACTGGAGAATGTCAAAACATCTGGAGGATATGAAAGGTAACAGTCAGAAACGTATAAGCAAAATATATAAGCAACAAATAGTTCACTTTGTCCGCACATGTGAAGATTGCACATATTCTGCTTTTAAATTTGATTTGTGTGATCACCCACATTGACAAAATTTGATTAAAGGGTCAGAGGAAGATAAAAGCATAAAGCTGTCAACTGGGATTCTAAGTTCAGTACTGCTGGAACCCAGATCAGGCTTTTAAAAGTGCATGAATGTCCCTCCATCAACTTCATTAAGTCTGAGGTCAGATCTTTCTGGAATACAGACATTAGAGATTAGCCAATTAAATTCAAATAATCTTCCTTCAGGCAACCCCACAAATCTGTTATTTACATAATGTGGTAAATGCTGAGCTAGTCTGCTTATCTGTATCAGCAGATTGTCCTTTCCTCCTTACGGAAAGTCTGGCTGACGCAGACCAGTGTTAAATAAAATCCAGTAAAACCCATCTATGTTCAAGAAGATAACTGGAACAGAACAGTGGAAGCTGAAGAAACAATTCCCAAAACTTAGAATTTGTTGAGAAGTTAAATTGTACACTCATGGGAAATCTGGTAAAACCCATCTAGAAACACGCATTTGCAAACTCAAGAGTTCTAGAGGCATTTGCCTTTCTAATGACTATGCATTAAAACTGGGACTCTGGGTACACAAATTAAGGAAAGCTAGTGCTAAAAAAAATTAAGTTTCATTATATATTATATATATAGGGTAAACTAAATATATGTAGTGTTAACCCACTTTGGCCTCTTACTATGTTTTCTGCAGCTACTTTTATTTCAAACACATAATATAAAAACAGTGATGAATAAAAGCTGGAAAGCGTCCTTTCAAAGGGCCTCTGAAAGGAAAAACCACTCACAGCAACTTCCTAAAGTAGTTCAGCTGCAGCCTCATCC